CACATGGCTACTGTGAACTAGATTTTTCGCGCTGCGTGGTTTTGTATTTTGTGATTTTTTTTTTAAAAAAAGAACAGTAATTACAAATTTTTAATTTTTTAATTTTTTTTCTTTTTATTGTTTTTCTCTGTCTTGTTTTCTTTTTTCTTGTCTTTCCACCCTCCAATATCCTTTCTATGTGTTTTTAGACAGATCTAAGAGCCCTGTAGCTAAACATTCAAATACTAATAGGATTGAAATATTCCCTACTATCTACTGAATCTGCCAAACCAGCAAGCACAATAGAACAGCAAAGAGATTCTGGATCACCTCTGCCTGCTTGCTCCTGAACATTAAGGCTGAACCTCAAGAATTTGAAAGAAACACAACATCCATCAGATGACAAGAAATCACCGCTGGATCACGAGAAACATGGGAAAACAAGAAAATACCTCTCCTCCTAGGGAAAAGAGTAACTCTTCATCCACAAGCAGTTCGGTGAAAATCATGGAAATGTCTGATAAGGAATTCAGATCATTCATAATGTCTAAGCTAACAGAGATGGAAGAGAAGAGAGATAATGAACTGCTAAAGAGAAAGGAGAAAGAAATTGACGAGTTCCAAGAGATGAGGAAATTCCTGCAAGATCTAAAAGTGGAATTACACACTTTACAAAAGACTCAAACGGAACTGCTAGAGATGAAGTCTATAATACAAGAAGTCAAAATCTCCCTGGAAAGCATTAAAAGCAGACTAGATCATTCAGAAAATAGAATCTCAGATGTAGAGGAGAAAATGGCTGGCCTAGAAAAATCCACCATGAAGGCTGAGAAAATGGCACAAAAATTTGAGAATAATATGCGAGAAGTACTGGATACCATCAAACGTCCAAATATCCGGATAATTGGCATTCCAGAAGGTGAGGAAACCCATAAGGGCATTGATAATCTATTCCAGGAAATCCTGCAAGAAAACTTTCCAAACCTAGAGAGGCATTCAAAGATCCAGTCCCAGGAAATACAACGGACCCCAAATAGAATCAACCCTAGAAGATCTTCTCCAAGACACATTATAGCCAGGTTGACCAAAACTGCAGACAAAGACAAGATACTAAGATTAGCAAGAGAAAAACATCAAGTTACCTACAAAGGACATCCCATCAGGCTAACAGCAGATCTCTCATCAGAAACAATAAAAGCGAGGAGAGAATGGGAAAATATATTCCAAGTGTTAAGAGAGAAGCAGTTTCAGCCAAGAATACTGTATCCGGCAAGATTATCTTTCAGGTGGGAAGAAAAGACAAGAACATTCTCAGATAAACAAAACCTGAAAGAATTTACCAGCACCAGACCAGACCTCCAAGAAGTTCTCAAGGATGTGCTGTATCAGGAAAACTAAACGCAGATACATGGAAATAAGAGTCCAAAAACTGAGAAAGTAGCTAACTTAATCATAGGGACAAGTCTGGAGTTGAATACTATATCCCAGAATTTAATCAGGAAAATTGAACCAGAACAGAAGATAAAAGTATATGAGACTGATAGGTTCATGCACCTACCATTTGAACAGAATCCTAACCTGTTTCCGGGCTTTAAGCAAAGTTCCTTGGCGGTTCTTTGATTTAAGTTAAAACTGGTTTTCTTAGTAGTAACGAGGGAACTCACCTTTGAAAGTAGTCAGGTTATGTAGGAAATTGTGTGATCAATGCAATGTGGGTGGGAAGGGAATGGAGGACAATTTTGGACACTAGAGGTGGTGTGAGAGGAGGGTGGGAAGGGACAGAGGGTCAGAAAGAGGGGTGGAATTAATTCTAGCAACTAGAAGTGGAAATTTATATTTTTTGTAATGTGCATGATTGAGTCACTATGCAGTGTGTACTGGATGGGAGATCGCATTTTGTGTGCTGTGATGATGCCTAGAGAAGGAATGTAAATTGAGTTACAAAAAAGAGTTTCAGGAAAAAAAAATATATCTATTCAATGACTGCAGTAGGATATGTAGCCCCAGTTAGGTGCTAAGTTATAGGATGTGTAAAGTTAGACTTGTGCTCATGGAAATGTGTGTGTCACATGTGTTTGCTAGGAGGGTATTTGGATTGATGAGGGTCTTTGGTGATTCAATAAAATGTGGGGGGAAAATGGTATAGAAATAGATAACAGAGACAGTGTGGGAGGAGAACAGGAGGTGGCAGAGGGTAAGAGAGGGAACCAAGGATGGGGGAAAAAAAGCAAAACATACAGAAAACAAGAAATGGAAGATCATTTGCTAATAATAACATGTTTGTTGATGTGCTTGATTGAGACAATATACAGTGTACTCTTGATGGAAAATCTCATTGTGTATGCTGTAATGATGTACAGTGAATGAATGCAAATAAATTGGAAAAAAAATTGAGCTAAAAGAAAGCAAAAATTAAAAAAATAATAATTAAATGAAAAAAAAAGTTAATGGAAAATACATATCATAAAAACAACTATACGTGGATTTTAATATTTAAAAAAATTGTTTTTGAAGAGGTTTTTAGTATAGGGGACTTGCACTCACCAGAAAAACAGAGAGGGACAGAGAGACAGAAAGCGAGAAATCACCCCTCACCCATGGGGGATGGCCAAACCACAATCCCTTCTCCTCCATTCTCTTCTCAGGATCTTGGGCACCCACACACAAGTTTAAGCCACTGGGTCCAAGACTCGAACTGCAGTTGACTACATGGAAGTCCAGCGATATAGCCATTATGCCAACTTCTGGTCCCAAATATTAATTTTAATTTTTTGCACCAAAATACATTATACTTTAACTCCAGTTTTCCACAAACTTTCTGATGTCCCCACGTAAGTGAGGGCAATACTGAAGGCAAAAAAGGATTTTTTTTATTCTGCCCCAAACTTGTCATGCTTCCCATTTGAGGTTCTAAGAGGAGGAGGGCACCTTAGAACCAGCAGATGACATAATGGTTATGTTGATGGATTCCTATGTAGTTGACTGTGGTTCTAGTCCTGGACCCGGAGGCTTAAAACTCACACAGGACACATGTGTGTGTGTGTGTGCCCAAAATCCTAAGAGGGAATTAAAGGAGAAAGGATTGGGACATGGCCATCCCTCCTGGGGAGTGATTTCTTGCTGTCTCTCTGGTGAGCCCATGCACCCTATATCAAAAAGCTCTTTAAAAAAAGAGGTGGGCACCTCAAGGAGTCTCCTGACCAAATCAACTTCCGTATGTAGTATGATCAGTTGGCCATAAAGACAGGGGTATCTTCAAGCATCTTTTGTTTCTAGATGTGGCCTCTTTTAATATCTGGTATGTCTAGTCCATGGGGATCAGTCTGAGTTTGCATGGATGCAAGAAATACTACCTTCTCAGAATGACATCTTTGTTTTCTGATGGTTCAATCTTCAAACAAACTTTGTTTCATGCATAAAATTATTAAAAATATTGTATAAGATTATAGTATCTTCAGGCTATGTGTATAAGCCATAAAACAGAAATGAACTTTGGGATTAAACTCAGGTCCCATCCCTAAGATATTTCACTATTTATATGCAAATAAATATTTCAAAATCTGAAAGAATTAAAAATTCTTCTGGTCACAAGCATTTGGGATAAGGGATACTCAACCTGAAATTAATTCTATACAGATCCATATCCTAACCAGTAACGAACAATTTTGGAAGAAAGGCCAGACTTCCTACAAAGAAAAAGGAAGAAAATAAGTAAGAAAGGGAGGGAGGGAGGAAGAGAAGGAGAGAAGGAAAGAAAAGTTAATTTTCTTTGCACATCTGAGTTGCACTGACTTGTATTTGTGATCCAGTAACTATACATACCATATGTATGATACTACATATACCTCCAAGGTGGATTCTTGAGTTAGATGCAGCTTCAAATATCAAACACAGCGCTTGGCTGGGAGGAAGAAGAAATAGAAGCTAAAGGCTTGAACTTGGAAAAATAATCGAGTACATCCAGTAATGCTGGGCCCAGGGCAGAGTGCAGTGAAGGAATGGATTTAGCTACAGTGGGCTCTCTTTTCCAAATCAGCCTCCTTGAAAAAAGTTATGGGTAAGGGAAAGATGAATTAGGCAGCATTTTCTTAACTGTATAACACCATCGTACAACCTAACTGTATTACTTAGACATTTTTCATAAAAATTGAGGAGTACTCACTTGGTAATTCATTGACATATTGAGAATTTAGTGTGCATTACATCCAAAAAAAAAAAAATCACCTCATACACGAGATATGGAAGATAAACATTGTCATTAAAATGAGCATGTACTGGAAAAGGACAAAATAGCCCCTTAGAGGAGAATTCCAGCATCTTCCAGGCTGAGAGTATAACACACTGTGTAACTGGGAGGAAGGAGAAGGGCGCATGTGTGGTAGTCTTGGATCTGAGCAGGGGGGGGGTCCTCATGCCTGACTTCTCTATGAACCTGGATAAACTGAGAAGGGAATTTAGCTATAAAAAGCTCTGTCAGGTTTTAACACTGCAATAACTACTCATTTGTCCTGTTCAACTGGTTAGGGCCTAGCTGGTGGAAATCTTTTGTGTGGATTCTCTCTCTAGAGTAAGTAAAATCGCAGAGGGTTGATTTACACTTCTCTCACAGGATTCAGAAACATTAGCTAGGTCTTTTCCTTTGTTGTTAACCATTTGAGTCATGCCACGTTTTTACATCTGAGGAGACTTCAAAAAGTTTGTTTAGCTATAGAATGAGCCCACTGAAGGAGGCAGGGTCACTGAAGGAAAAAACAAAAGTATTGCCCCCTAGAAATCAAATAATGATAATAATAATAAAGTATTGGCCCCGATTTCATAAAAGCAATTTGTTCGTAAATGTATGGTTTGGAGGAACCTAGGAGTAAACAGACGATGCATTTTCCAAATGGAACACACTTCCCATGCGGACACCCCGTACGCCCTAAAGCAGAGGAGTCTGCCCGCGGGGGCTGTCGCTTTGACCTCAGGCACCTGCGCCAGGTCAAGCAGCGACTGGAGGAGGCCGACGGGATCGCGTCACTTCCGGCTGCGGCCCGGCTGGTCCATCAGCACTATGACCACCAACGCCGAGGTGCCGCGCCGGCGACCGGGAGTCGGGGTAGGAGTAGTGGTGACCAGCTGCAAGCATCCTCGTTGTGTCCTCTTGGGGAGGCGGAAAGGGTCGATTGGAGCTGGCAGGTTTCAACTTCCTGGGGGCCATTTGGAGTTCGGGTGAGCACCCATCTAATCGACCCGGGAAAACGGAACGTGCCTGGGGAAAGCGTGCTCGCGCTGTGCGTACGCCCGTGCGCCGTGCGTGCTTCCGCACATGCGTACGTCCGAGCCAATGCTGCGCCCTTTCTCGCGCACTCCTCGGGTCCTCCTGTACCGCTGGGCCCTGCAGGCTTCTTTCGGTAGAGGGCGCTGTGCTGAGTAAGGCAGGATCTCGCAGTGATGTGAGCTGCGGCCCCCGCCTGGTCGCGGCTGGGCGTCGGTTTGTGGTGGTTTTCTTTGCGTTTACACGTAGGAGACCCCTGCGTGTAAACCTCCAGCTGCCTTGCGTTGCCCATTTCCATGTGATGTAGACGTGCACAAATGCATTTAGTACCTACTGGTCCCGCGATTTGTGTCGCATAACCGAGTCACTGGGTCAGGGAAACGCTCAGCGTCCGTTTCTTTATCTTTAAAATGGGAACAATGGCTGAAATACTCAAGGTTTCTTTCTGCCTCTGCACTCTGTGACTTTATCAGACTGACAGAGGAAGTTGAATAGTTACATTTACACAAGAGTGAGGACAGCTTGGGATTGTGCTAAAAAGTGGAATCTAAAGTAAGAAAAAGGTTAAAATATACATAGCATTTAGAGCATCCAGACCCAATGGCTCTATTTCCTTTAGTATAAAAAATTTCGAGAATACATAAAAACAGAAGAAATAGTGAATTATTATGTTCAGAGCTTGTTCTTTTTCATCTTTACTCTGCCTTGCCTCTCCCACCCAAAACACACAGAACACACACAAATCTGATTTTCTTTTAAAGGAAATCTCAGACATCCTATTATACCATCCCTAAATAGTTGATTATGTATCTCTAATAGACTAAAACACACACACACACACACAATACTGTTTCCATACCTAACAAAATAATTTTTTTTTAGAGAGATTCTTGCTATAGGGCGTGTGCACTTGCTGAAGAGTGAGAGAGAGACAGAAAGAGAGAAATCAACCCCCAGGGGGATGAGCACGCTGCAATCCCTTCTCCCTTCTCCTCTCTGGATTTTGGGTATACATGCACACATGCCTGGTGTGAATTTTAAGCTGCTGAGTCTGGGACTTGAACCACAGTCGGCTATATGAGAGTCCAGTAATGTAACCATTATGCCATCTGCTGGTCCAAACTAATTCTGTAGTTTTTTGGTTTTTTTTTTTATGTTTTTTGTTGTTATTGTTTTAGAGATATTTGCTATAGGGTGCAAGCACTCATCTGAGAGAGAGAGAGAGAGAAAGAGAGAGAAATCACCTTCAGGAGGAATGGCCACACTGCAGTTCCTTCTCCATTCTCCTCTCGCGATCTTGGGCATACACTCACCTGTATGAGGTTTAAGCTGCCAGATCTGGGACTAAACCCCTGGTGGATTGTGTGAGAGTTCAGCAACATAACCATTATGCCATCTTTGGTCCCAATAATTCTTTTGTATTATTTGAGATAGATGCATAGTCTATGTATCATTTTCTCCATTATCTTGAATATGTCATTTTACTGTTTTGTTCTAGTCAGGATCAAAGGAAGTACACATATTATATGGCATTTGGTTGATAAATTTTTAAGTCTTAATCTAACAGTAACCTATCTTCCACTCCCTCTTATGCCATTTCTTTTTTGAAGAATATGAGTCATTTGTCCTGAGGAATATCTCGCATATGAGTATGTTCTGTGTTATTCTAATTTGCTTACTTCTTACAAAGTGGTAATTAGTCGAGGCCAGCCTCTGTGGCACAGTCAGTAGCAGATTGGACTGTAGTGCTGGAAGTCATGCGACCAAGCGCACAGATCTCAGGGCCTGGTTGACTTGAAATAGTCTGGGTGCAGTGCGTGGACATGCCCTAGAGCCTGAGGAGCTGAAGGGCTGGAAGTAGGGTCTGCAGCATGAACTTCGTTAAGGGTGTGTGTGTCTTTCTCTGTCTCCCCCTTGCACACACACACACACACACACACACACTCTATCATGAATAAAAATTTGAGGTTTGATCCAGTGCCTATTAATCAAACTTGTCCTTTACAAAATATGGTGTATTTATGATCTTTTAACATTTTGGAATTCTTTTTTATAAGTATTTTATTTAGCTCTATTTTTTAATTTTAATTTGACCAGAAAGGAACAGAATGAGAGAGAGAGAGAGGGAAAGTGAGAAAGCAAGCAACCAGGTCTGGGACTCCTGTGGTTGGCCATGTAGGAGACCAGCGCCCTCAACCACGGCCCAACCTGCCATTCTCTATTTTGGATTTTTTTTTTTTTTTTTTTTTTTTTTTGAGAGGGTTTTGCTGTAGGGCGTGTGCACTCACCAGAAAGACAGAGAGGGACAGAGAGACAGAAAGCGAGAAATCACCTCCCCCAGGGGGGATGACCACTCCGCAATCCCTTCTCCTCCATTCTCCTCTTGGGATCTTAGGCATGCATGCACACGCGCCCAGTGTGAGTTTAAGCCACCAGGTATGGGACTCGAACGGCAGTTGACTATATGGGAGTCCAGCAACATAGCCATTACATCAACTGCTGGTCCCTCCCTATTTTGGAATTTTTAAAAATGGTATTCAGAATTTTAAAAGGCATCTAAGGGAGGCCAGCAGGTGGTGTGGTGGTGAAGGTGCTGAACTCCCACATGGCTGACAGTGGTTCAAGTCCTGGACCTAGCAGCTTCCTTCCTTTCTCTCTCTCTCTCTCTCTCTCTCTCTCTCTCTCTCTCTCTCTGGTGTCTGTGCCCTTTAGCAAATTTTAAAAATAATAATAAATAAAATTAATTAATTTTTTTTAAAAAAGCATCAATAAGTTGAGACCAACATATGGCATAATGGTTATGTTGCTGGACTCCCACATAGTCAACTGCAGTTCAAGTCCTGGACCCAATGGCTTAAAACTCACGCTGGGCACATATGCATGCATGCCCAAGATCCCAAGAGGAGAATGGTGGAGATTGCAGCATGGCCACCCCCTGGGGGGGCTGATTTCTCGCTTTCTGTCTCTATGTCTTGCTCTTGCCTCCCTAGCTAGCACATGCACCCTACAGCAAAAAAAAAAAAAAAAAAAAAAACCCCCCTCTTTAAAAAAAAAAAAAAAAAAACCTCTCTCTCTAAAAAAAAAGCATAAAAAAAATCGATATGTTTAACATTTTCAGCTGATTAACTATCAAGTAGGGGTAAAATTTTTAGATTAAGAACTACTTTGCCCAGACAGCTACACTCACATTGTATTTGGTTGATTATTGATGGGCACTAGTCTATCACAGACAAAGCACTAATGAATGTATAATTACCAGAGTAGTGACTAGACATAGCGATCTTAACAACACAAGGAAGTGTTGATGTCCTGACTCAGATATTGAATGATCATGGCCAGCACTGAACTTTCCATTTTTACTAAATGCTAGATAGTATGGTAAGCTCTTTACATGTATGGTTTTTCTAGATTTTTATATAACTGGTATACTGAGGAAGCTAAATTGATGGAGGAACAAACAGGAAATGGCTCTTATTTCTCCTTTTTATTTTTTGTCTTTATAATTGATTTATCTTTTCCTTCTGTGTTCCTCAGTGATGTTTCCTACAAATCCTGGTGTTTTACTGTTCCTAGACCTCCACTTCAGACCCCAGTTGCAAATCTGGGTATCTGAAAACTTCTCACAGGCCAGCGACAAATGGGGATGCCCATGTCTCTCTCTTTAAGCTCCATTAATTTGCTAGAGTAGGTCATAGAACTCAATGAAACATTTGCTTACATTTACCTGTTTATTCTAAAGGATAGTTTATGCCCTACTGCTCAGCAGGCAAGCCACGTGGGAAGACCAGGAATTTTACCCAAATGACTAAAAGCCATAAATCATGGTGCAGGCCTGTAGTTCTAGCTACTTGGGAGGCTGAGGCAAGGGGGTAAGGACAGAATGAGACCCAGTCTTAAAAAAAAAAAAAAAATTTAAAGACTACAAATAAACAGGCAGATGAAGAGACATAGAGCCAGGTCTGAATGTCTTCTGAGTATAGGAGTTTTTTCCTCTGGTTTTGGGATGCAACGCCTTCCCTATACCCAGAAGAGTTTCTTGTTCTTTCTGTAATCCTCCTCTTATTTACCTATCCAGAAGAACTCTCAGAACCCTGTATTTTGGCTTTTTTATGAAGACTTCATTGTACAGGCATGATTGAAGCATGGATGATTGTGTAGAAATGTTATTGAACAAAAAGGGTATGACCTAGTGCTGAGAGAACGAGTGAGAGAAACCCAGCAAGACCCATCTTCAGATTCCTCTTGACCTCCCTGCGCAGCATTCTTTCCTTCTGGATATGGGGCAGGACTCTCTGGAATGGGGTGGGGGTGGGGTCTTAAAATCTTTATTTATTTTTATTAATTGCCAAAAGGTGCTTGCACTTGTCAGAAAAAAAGAAAGCAAGCAGTGAGCTGTGGTCATGCTGAAATCCTTTTTCCTCCCTTTCTCCATCCTGTCAGGATTTGGGGCACACACACACAGGTTCAGGGTGTGTTTCTTAAGCCTCCAGAGCTGAGAGTCACACCATGGTTGGCCATGTGGGCCCCAGTTTCATATGTACAGGACCCAACTGCTTTGCTGTGGGGCCAGCCCGAGATCTTAAATTCTCCATGGCCAGTTCTATGGCCTGTTTTGGGAAGCTTCAGAAACCAAGAACAAAAGACCAAAGAGTTATGAACAGAAACCATGACAAAAACAAACAAACAAAAATGTATATATGTATCTCATAATATCACAGCTTTAGACTAGAAATTTCTAGCCAAGAATTTCATGGCTAAAAGAAAATTACATAAATAAAATCAGATACAATAATGTTTCTGTTTTCCAGTGAGACCTGGGAAGAATGTGCTCAAAGGGAAACCTGGGAAGAAGCAGCTCTTCACCTGAAAAATGTTCGCTTTGCCTCGGCTGTGAATTCGTTCATTGAGAAAGAGAATTACCATTATGTCACTATATTAATGAAAGGAGAGGTGGACATGACTCACGAGTCAGAACCAAAGAACGTAGAGCCTGAAAAAAATGAAAGTAAGAGAATTATATAAAAAGAATGTGTACTGCTTTGAGGAGAGCATATCACTGAAAGGAGTGTTACATTATGTTCCAGAGAATTAAATTCTCTGCATATATGCTATGGTCCAGATGTTTGCATCTCTGCAGAATGTATATGTTGAAAAGCCTGTTCCTAAGGTGGTAGTATTAGAAGGTGGTGCCGTTGGGAGGTTATTAGGTCAAAACTTCATAAATTAAATTAGCGCTCTGATGAAAGAGGCCCCAGAGAGACCTTTGCCCCTTCCACCCTGTGAGGACACAGAGAGAAGATGGCTAGCTATGAACCAGGAGGCAGCTTTCACTAGGCACCAAATCCATCAGTGTCTTTCTCTTGAACTTCCTAGACTCCAGAACTGTGAGAAAAAAATTTCTGTTTTCTGAAGTCTGTAATATTCTGTTACAGTAGCCTAAACAGACTAAGAAACTGTAGATATGTAAAATATACGTAAGTCCTGAGGGACACAGGAACCAGACTGCATGGGTTTATGTCATGGTTCTTCCACTTAGGATTTTGTGACCATGGGGAAGTTTCTTAATACCTAGGCCTCTTTTTGCATCTGTAATTACCTCAGATGAGTTGCTATAAAAACTAAATAAGTTAAAGAACCTAAATACATGTTAGTTTTATTGTTAGTGTTTAATTTCATTTTAGACTGTGATTTTAAGGAAAACATTTCATGTGCTTTCCTCAGTTTTCTCAGCTGTACAGGAGAGATAATTCCTTCCTTTGTCATGGTTACCCTGACAAAATAGTTGCCTGTTATAGTCCATATTGAATTGAATGCTTTGGAGTTTAGTGACATTTACTGTATGCTAAGCAGATTTATTTATTTTTTAAGAGATATTTTTGCTATAGGGCATGTGTGCTCGCTGTAGAAAGACAGAGAGACAGAAAACGAGAAATCACCCACTGCAGGAATGGCCATGCCGCGATCCCTTCTCCTCCCTTCTCTCAGGATTTTGGACACACACACACACACACACACATGAGTTTCAAGCTGCAAGGACCAAGACTTGAACTGCAGTCGGCTACATGGGAGTCTAGCAACTTAACCATTACATCATCTGCTGGTCCCATACTAAGCATATTTCTAAGGGTCTTATATGTATCATCTCTCGTGAAATTTTCATGAAACTGTAAATAAAGGAACTAAAAAAATGTCAAACTTTCGGAATATATTCCTTGCCAAATGAAACTTTATTCAAATGGTCTCATATACAGGACCTCCCCTCTAAACATTTTATTTCTTCTAACATGATAGAAGCTTTTCATTCAAAAAATACTTTTTTAAAAAGAATTATTTATTTAATTTAATTTTCCCCCACAATTTACTATATATAGAGAGAAAGCTAGAAAGCAAGCTGCCAGGTCTAGGACTCACACTGCAGTGGGCCAGGTGGGAGGCCAGTGCCCTAACCACCATGCCACCCGCATACCCCCCCAAAATACTTTTTGATTACAGTATATCAGACACTCAACAAACAATGGTGCATAGGACAAATGCCCTGCTCTCCTTGATTTACACTTTAGTGGGGAATGTGGGAGACGCTAGATTAGCAGCTATGTTATGACAGTAGGGGTAAGGACTGTGAAGAAAGATAAGCTGTGTAAGGACAGCACTGCATGGTGCTATGTCAGGTGGAGTGGTCAGGAAGAACTCCAGAAAAAGAGACGTGTATACAGAGGTCTGGAGGAAGTGATATTTGTAGAATAAATACATTGTATTTTTACAGATTGACTTTATTGAATGAACGGAAGGGCACTAGACACCTGAGGCCTGTTAAGTCATAAGAGATTTTTTTTTTTTGGACAGGTTTTTGCTATAGGGCGCATGTGTTCGCCAGACAGACAGAGAGAGACAGAGAGACAGAAAGTGAGAAATCACCCCCCGGGGGGGATGGCCACACCGCAATCCCTTCTCCTCCATTCTCCTCTCGGGATCTTGGACATGCACGCACAAGTGCCCGGCATGAGTTTAAAGCCACCGGGTCCGGGACTCAAACCGCGGTCAACTACGTGGGAGTCCAGCAACATAGCCATTATCCTAACTGCTGGTCCCCATGAGAGATTTTTTTATAAAGTAGGTGATTGCGTGGAATCCTTGAAAGTGAACTAACAAAGAATATTCAAAAGTGTCAATAGGACTTCAGTTGGCCTAAGGTACAATTAAAATTATTCGTGACCAAAGAAGTGAAAGGCAGGAGAGGTATGTAAAAATGTGTGGGGTTGATCGGTGGAGTTTTCCAATAGTCTTTCTTACCTCTCACATCTCCAGTTATCCCAGATAAAATGAGGAGTCAGAGAGGACAATAGTAATGGAAACAAAGATTTGCAACTTGGGGAAGGAACAGTGATTACTTAGCTTTGTTACAATAAATTAATGTGTAGGTACACATATTTTCATTTTACTGCTTTCTGTAAAACTCTTTTTTCTAAAGATTTATTTAATTTTATTTATTCATGTATTTATTTTAATTTGACCAGAGAGAGAGACAGAGAGAAAATGAGAAAGCAAGGCACCAGGTCCAGGACTCAAACCATGGTCAGCCATGTGGGAGTGTCTAGTACCTTAACCACCACGCCACCTGCTGGTCCCAAACTCATTTTTTTATATAAAGCAAAATATATTACATATAAATGAATATTCGGTTAAATTAGTTTTGAAGCATAATTTATTCAGGGAACTGGTTATTATTTTATTTTTTGTTCCAGAGAGCGTATGTGCTTGCCAGAGAGACAGAGAAAGAGAAAGCACTCCTCAGTAGGGTATGGTCCTGCCACAAACCCCCCTTCCTCTATTTCTCCATCCTGTCAGGATTTTAGGCATGTGTGTGCTTGCGTGCACACACACACACACACACACACACCTTGCATGTCTCTCAGGCCACCAGGGCCAGGATTTGAGCTGTGGTTGACAGTGTGGAATCCACTTCCCAAAGCATAGCGCTTAACCACTGCATTATGGGGCCAGCCCTGTTATTTTAACACAGATCTCCAAACTGGCCGCATAGTACAGTGGTTAAACATTGCATAGAGGAAGCTGGATCTCACATGGCTGACTAGGGTTTGAGTCCCAGACCTAGCGGCTTGAAAAACACACAGGGCATATCCATATGACCAATATCCTAATCCTAATGGGATGGACAATTGGAGAAGAAAGGGTTGTGGCTCAACCAGGCCCCTTTCTCTCTCTCTCCCCCAACCCACCCCACTTCCACTCTTTTGTGCACATGCATACACACACTCTCTAGCATTAAAACCAGACAAAACCTGAAAATACTGACATTTTCTTCTTTATGTCTTTTCTATGGGAAAAAAAAAAGCTGAGATTAGAAGAGATTAATATAATGTAATAGTTTTTTTTTTTTTATATATTCAATATCTTTCACAGGAAGCGATCATTTGTAGGGTAGGTGCTGAAGAAGAAACACTAAAGCTGGCCCAGCCTTTGTGGCGCAGGCAGTAACATGCTTAACTGCAGTGCCGGGAGCCACGTGGCCAGCCACAGGTTTGGTCACCCAAACTGGTAGACCTGGAACATGCGGAGAAGCTAGAGGGCTAGGATATGGGCTCACAACATGACCAGACCCTGTCATGGGTATCTTTCTCTCTCTTTTGTGTGCATACATGTGAAATCATGAATAAAATAAATTTAAAAACTGAAGCAACTGGCAGTCTCATAAGCTTTATTCAATGGTTTTCACTTACAGAGCCACCCCTGTTGGTGCTTTCTAAATCTTCAGTCCTCCTTTTACCCTGTCTGGCCTCCAAGGGATTTGAGTTGCTAAATCCTGATACTAATGTATTTGTACAGCCGAACTATTGTGAAGCGTTACTATTGGGGTGTATTTGTAACAAGTCGCTTTTAAATTCAGTTAATTTTTTTTCTAAACATAGATGAACTAACCAAAATAAATACCCTTTGTTTCTATTTGCTATCTTTCTTTTCTAGGTTGGGAGTGGGTTCCTTGGGAAGAATTTCCTCCACTAGACCAGCTTTTCTGGGCACTACGTTGTTTAAAGGAACAAGGCTATGATCCATTTAAAGAAGATCTGAACCACCTGGTCGGCTATAGAGGGAATCATCTCTAGCGGGTCAAGAAAATTCCTTGATTTCTTAAAAAAAAAAAAAAAAAAAAAAAAAAATAAGATCTGGTTACAGAGCAAAAATGTCTGCATTTCAAAACAACTCTCCCTTAGCTAAAAAGTTCTGCATGGTTGTAATATTTGCATCACCCTTACGACCAGTGCTTGAGAAAACTTTTCTGGAATGTGTAATAGACATGTATCTCAGACACAGAATGTGTGAAAACGGTAATGTTGTAGTTACTCTGCTTCCCATTTTTAGGGCATTTACTGTGCAGTTTGTCATGATCAGCTTGCGTGGATAGGGTGCAACACGTGTGTATTAGTGTTTCAGTTCAAATAGAGACCCCAATTCAAATATCATAATTGAACTCAAGCACACTGTGCCTGTTGCATAATTTATCGTGTTTATTGACTTTTTTCTTATATTTAAAAAAATATTTTGGCTAATACATTTTGACATCTTTGCAACTAGAAAGAACAGGAAAGGCCATGAGGGTCTATTTCCCAGGTTTGGGTTGAGAACCTAACCCAAGAGAAGTGAGACAAACCATCTAAGATATGTGTTCTACCATTAACAGGCTATATAATTTTGGATTTCTCACGTTCTCTGAGATCTAGCATTCTTATCTGTAAAATAAGGGGATCAAACTATAGCAGTGGTTCTCAAAGTAGGGTCTAGGGCTCCTCAAGAGCCTTTTAAGGGTATTGAAGGTCAAAAGACTCTAGTACTGTTGTAATTCATGCTATAAAGACATCTTTTTTCAGTGAGTAAGTATACCACTTTTTCAGTTCTTTTCTCAATAGTTTGCTTTTTCAGAATTATATGTACATTGTCTAATTTACCATTTTAAGTCTCATTTTCTGCTCATTGTATCTCTATTATTTTTTGACATTAAAATTGTTTGAGGAGCTCAAGTATTTAAAAAAGTATTCTTGACCTTCGAATATTGGTGACTTCACAGGTTTTTCTACTGCACATTTTTTTATTTGATTATTTCACAGCCTTCTATTGCTTGCTCATTGTTTTCACTCCCTTTCTCGATTGACTGACTCCTTGTCCTTTGCATCTCCTAAATGGTAAACAGATGAGTCTTAAGAAGAAGGCAGGCAAATCTTAACGTTTGAAACCCTTCCATGGGTTTATCTCAAATGTAGTTGATTTGGAATTCACTAATATAGTTCTTTATTGTAGTACCTATCTAAGCAGATGTTTTACAGCTTCAAAAACATCACAAGCCTGTGGAATTTTTCTGTATCTGCCACTTTAAATGTTCAGTAAATTTACCAGGAGCTTGTGAGGTTGTTTGTTTCTTAACTTACCCAATCTGACATAAAGATTTATTTCAATGGAAAGAAAGACTAATCTGGCCTCTTATGGGAAAAAAATAAAAGTGACAATGTAAGACTTTTCTAATAGAGGGAAATTGCATTTATGTCAGCACCTAATATGCTCAAGTGGCATCCAGTAATCCTTCAATAACTATTTCTCTAAATGAGGGAACGAATGACAAATGAAGCAGGATTTAAAACTCTTTTTTTTTTCTTTTTTGGAGAGGTTTTTGATATAGGGCGTGTGCGCTTGCCAGAAAGACAGAGACAGAAAGACAGAAAGCGAGAAATCATCCCCCAGGAGGGATGGCCATGCCACAATCCCTTCTCCTCCTTTCTCTTCTCAGGATCTTGGGCACACACACACACGTGCCCAGCGTGAGTTTAAGCCACCGGGTCCGGGACTCGAACCATGGTCAACAATATGGGAGTTCAGCAACATAGCCATTATGCTAACTGCTGGTCCCATGGATTTAAAACCCTTGAGGTCCGCCTGTGGTGGCACAGGCAGTAGGCTCAGGGCTTGCACCCAGATATGCCTAAACATAGTGGTCACTGCACGTGCTTTTTGATCCTAGATGGTTGGAAGGCTGAAAGGTATGGCACTAGGAGACCCTGTCCATGGTGTCTGTCTCTTTCTCTCATGAAAGAAAAAACTTTAAAACGTTTTCAATTTAATGAAAGACCAAGAAAGGTTTAGGAATTGTTACAGATTTTAAAAGATTATAGGGGCAGCCCCATAGCACAGAAGTAAAGCATTGTGCATAAGTAGCCAAATCCCATACAGCCAACCATGGTTTGAGATCCAGCCCTGGTGACTTGAAAAGCATGCTGGGCACATGTGCATGCATGCCTTCAATCTTGACAGGATGGAGTATGGAGGAAAAAGGATTACAGCATGTCTGTAGCCCCATTGGAAGGTGCACACTCTCCCTCTGCATATACCCTCTGGCAATTAAAAAAAAAAAGAAAAGACTAAAGATCTGGTAGCTAATAAATGCAACTTGTAATCCTCCATTACATTATAGGCCAGGAAAAAATATTTTCTCATTTACTTTGAATAAGAACAATTGATAACATTTGAATGGGACTGAAGGTTAGATATTGATACTGTGTCAGTATTAATTTCCTGATATTGATAACTGTACTAAGACAACATCTTCATTGACAGGAAATACGTATTTAGAGTACAGAGATAAAGGGGTATTGTGTCTGCAATGGTTCAGGGAAAAAAAATGATAGAATGATAGGGCAAACTTATAACTTTAACATTTGGGGACTGTAGAAAGGTTAATGGAATTATTTGTTCTAAATAAGTAACATTTCTGAAGTCGAAATTACTTTAAAATACAAGCTTAATAAAATTACTAGAATGGGGTCCAGATGACACCATGGTGAGATGTGACATTCTGTAAGGCTGGTCCACATGGGTAGGTCGTAGGTTTGCAACTGGAGACCTCCCTGAGTATGCCGGGCACACATGATTGTAATATGGGCCAGAAGTAGATGGTGGCATCAAGACCACATTGGGTACCTGTCACTCTGTCTCTCATTCTTGGGAGAAGTAAATAAAGAAACAGTAAAAATAAATAAATAAATAAATAAATAAAAATACAAAATTCCTGGAGAGAATGTGAGGATCGAAAGAACCCAGTACTAAGCCATGAATAACACCAACATTTAGACAGAAATCTGGGGGATAGTACTGGAAGGAAAGGTAGAAGGATGTTGAAAAAGAAAGTCCGATGGGATGTAGATCGAGTTTCAATGGAGGGCCTAGCTTCTGTGCTCTCCTCTACAGTCCTGAGAAATGACCTCTCTTCAGCTCACCAATCTGAGCCACCAAAGCTAATCCCACCACACAGGTCTGCAGAAAAGCAGTCCAGCCCTAGCCAGGTCACCACGTTTTCCCAGTCAGAAATATCTTTAATAGGAAAAAACTAATGCTGACTGCTACTGTCTCTCAACACTAAATAGGTCAAGTAGAGCTCCTAAAGTCTCTTCGTACCTCGTAGCCAGGTCACTGAGGAGACAGAAATATCTCATCTGCAGAATCAAGCCTTGCGGTGTCATCTATCCCAAGATAGGAAAGTGTTCCTGCACTCAGCTCTACAGTGTCTTAGCAAAAGGCTTCCCAGTGGAGCACGATGAGGTGAGTCTCCCATAGGTCCACTAGGAAGAGACACTTTGTTGTCTTCACTGCCAGCTTTCCAAATGAGGCAAATGCTTTTAAATGAAATATTCTTTTCTTTGAGGCACCAAGGATCATCATAAACAGTGATTGCGGAGAAAGCAAGCTCAGGGACTTACTCATATGAGGGAGGTTTTCCAAGGCCTTTACCAACATAAATCATATTGAAGCATCCTCTTTATTCATTATTCATTATTATTATTATTATTATTATTATTATTATTTTGCTATAGGGCACATGCACTTACCAGAGAAAAAGAGAGAAAGAAAGGGAAAGTGAGAAAGCAAGCCACCAGGTCCAGGAGTCAAACTGTGTTCAGCCATACAAGTAGTCCAGTACCTCAACCACCACACCACCTGCTGGCTCCAAAGCATCCTCTGTTTTTAAGTAATTATTTATATTGTATACGGGAGTCAGTGTTGAACTTGAGCAGTTTTTATAAAACATGAAATCAAATGCAGTACACATTGAGAGCTGTGTATCATGCCTTTCATTTTATGTATCTCAAGAAATTGAAAATGTAAAACCATACTTCAGGTTCTTCAAAACATTTCATTTTTTATCTACTGTGTGCTAAGTATTGATAAGGGCTTCATAATATTTATACTATAAATTAAATCCACCACACTTCCTTAGTCCCCAATTCTCATTCTAGATTTTCTCCCACATTTATGTTTAAATATTTGTTTTTCTTTTTTGCATAATATTATTATTTAGTTTTGCATCCAATCATGGATCATGCTACATTTTATTTATCAGAACAACTAATGGGCAAAATAAAGTTGCAAGTAAACCAAACTTTTCACCAACTTCAATTTGACCTATTGTTTCATGTTCTCTTTTTTCTTCACAGATTCACTTCCTATATTCTCTGATGAGTCCCCAAACACTGTCACCTACAACTCAGTTCTTTCTCCGAAACTCCAGACCCAACCACAGAAGGCTTCTGTCTACCTGAGACTTTCCATGTCCTTCTACCTTGATGTGATCCCAATTGAATTTTCTCTTGTATTCCCAGGAAAAGGCTCTACCATTTGTTGAAATGTTCAAGTTTGACTTTCTCCCTCTCATCCCACAGTCATTCGGTCTCATGTGTGCTGTTTCTTTTCTGTCTCAGACACCTCTCCCCAGGTCCAGGTCTTCATTATTTTTTCTTTAGACTGTTCCTGCAGCTTTACTTCTCTAATCGATTTATTTTTATTTTTAATCATGGCAAAGTAGAAATAACATAAAATTTGCCATCTTAACCCCTCTATTTATTTATTTAATGAAAGAGAGAGAACGAAGTATTTGCAGTAAGGTCTTGCCACACTGCAATCCTCTGCCCAGGCTCCCAGTTAGCTGGGATCACAGGCACATGCCACCATGTCTAGCAGTTGTCTTAGCAGTTTGCTCCCATGTGGCTCTAGCCTCACACAGCAGTGCCCTACTGCTTGCACCACAGCTGGGCCTCTGATGTATTCTTTACCTTATTCCTAAAATGACTTCAAAAATGTAAACCTGATCATAACTCTTGTCTTCCCCAACTTCTTTAGAATTTCCGCATTGCCTGTTGGATAAAATCCCCAGTGTGACACGTGAGGTCTGTTGTCATTTCCTCAGACTAACCTTCCCACATACTGCCATCACCGTCTCATGCCTGCACCCCAGGCATGTCTCTGTGTGCTTCCTCAAGTGCACCGGGCTGTTTTCTATCTCCTTGCCAGTGTGCCTGCTGCTCCTGAATTGAACACCTCCCCTACCGTCAATCTGCTGAAGCACATCCTTACCAGTTTTTCATACCTCAGTTTGAGGGCTCCTTTCTCCGTGATGCCTTCTGGACTTACCCAAGCAGACTTATGCACATCTCACCTTATTCTATTTCTACTGTATCCTGACTTCAAAGTGGCTTTTGAATTGTTAAGCCTTTGGGTTTGAATGACATGAGACACCATCCCATTCTTCCAAAGTCACCCTCTTTTGTCTTTTTGTAGAAACTGATTTAAATTTCTGATAGACTGAATTCACTTCTGATACACTGGTGAAACAAGATTCTGCAGGTGCCTCAAATTAGCCTGCTCCTTAAAAATAGAAGAAGAGGCAAGGATGACCCCTGGATGACCAGCCCCATGTCCAGCACCTTCATCCCCTCGTAGTCTCCACCATGCCCAAGAGGAAAGCTAAAAGGAATGCTAAAAGAGAAAGATCCAAGGTGAAGGACAAACCTCAGAGAAGATCTGTAAGGTTGTCTATGAAGCCTGCTTCTTCAAGGCCAGAGCCCAAGTCTAAAAAGAGCCCTGCCAAAAACGGAGAGAGGTAGCCAAAGGAAAAAGCTGATAGTGGCAAGGATAGGAATAACCTGACAGAAAATGGAGATGCCAAAACAGACCAGGCACAGGAAGCTAGAGCTGCTGG